GCTATCGCTGCTCCCCAGCCAACCCCCCCCAGTTTCTATACTGAGCATGACGTCATATGGTATGGAATAGCCCTTTGGTCAGTTTGGATCAACTATTCTGGCTGTGCCCCCTCCCAGTTTCTTGTGCACCTGGCAGAGCATGGGAAGCTGAAAAGTCCTTGACTAGCATAAGCAGTACTTAGCAACAACTAAAAACATCAGTGTGTTATCAGCATTCTTCTCCTACTAAATCCAAAACACAGCACTACGCCTGCTACTAGGAAGAAAATTAACTCATCCCAGCCGAAACCAGGACAAAGGTATTATCTACTTCTATACATCCTTCATTGCTTATGTCTCTGATTGCTTAGACCATCAGAGCTACATCACTATTGCTGCTGTCAATCCTTTCACTTTTTTGTTTGCTGAATCAGAGAGATTCCTAAAGGACAGGTTCAATGTCAGTAGTTTGTGATGTACACAATGGGGGGTCTCTCAAAAGCTACATTCACAAGCATGCACTCACCTAGCGTACCTGACACATAGTCATTAGTTTCATTAGAGCTAATTGCAAAGTGTGCAGGCAACACACACATCTGCACTTGATAGCTCCTCCAAGATACTAAGTAAATAAGGGGCCGCTCATGCAGATGAAGGTCCCTTCTTGAGTAACAGTGTGTGAAGGAAAGGACTCTGCAGAGTCCAGGATCTCAGCTTCTCCCTGCCTGAGGAAGAGCTTCATAACTGCATTGTTCATCAGTCCTGCTGGCTCCTTGGACAACGCAAAACTTGATGGTGCTGATGATTAAAAAGTCCAGTCTTCAGCAGAGATAAATACAGTAATCTGAGTATCTTTCTGTAATATCATTCCTAAATATTACATTTTGATGCCCTGCTGTAATTAGGTAGAGTTATTATATGTCTCTTGATTTTGTCTGATGATAATCGCAATCTCTTTACAGAATTGACACGTGCAGGTCATGCATTTCCTTTGGAAGCTGGGGCCTTGCACTGGTGGCGGCTGCCACACTCCTGCAGTGTCCTCTGGCTAAACAAAATTCAGGCAATTTATATTAAGATATCTTGTTTTCACCTTACAATAGGGTTTGGGACTGGGCAACAAGGAATAGAGGAGAGAAAAAAACGTATTTAACAGGTGTTAGCCGTTACCTCCTTGGCAAGCAGAAAGAGGGGTGCAAAATGACTTATAGCTTGAAAAACAAACTCTCTAATAGTTTGTTAAGTGCTTCCTTTGAAGGAGGTCATGAATGTGCATGAAATTAGGGTGGTGTCTAGACACTGCAAGCTCAAAACTACATGTTCATGCACACATGGACACACAGATCTGCCAGCTGCTTCTTTCCTTCTAAGGAAAACACTGAGAGGAAAACAGGTGAAAGCTTCAAGAAATGCTAATGGACCTCTGAAAAGGTCTTATCAGCCAGAGGTCCAGCACATGGATTGGAGAGAAGCCTACCGCCTTTCTTCTACTATGCTCCCAAAATGCTATATGAAAGAAAAAATCTGTGGAGTTAGCAATAGTTAGCAATATGGGCACCACTACCATGTTAATGAATTGTGCAACTGACTTGTCTTTTTTCACTGAGGATTTATACATATACTCTGGATGTTGATCATGTGATTTGTTTTGAATTAGCAAACAAATCAAAATACATAGATGTTTCATTATATGAATTCATGCTAATGTTGGTACAGATATTCTCCTTGACACAGGCCTTCATTTATATTTAATTCTTTTTGAACAAAGTCTAACTTTAACCTCAAATATATACAGAAAAGCATCATACAAACAGTTAAGAGATAAGTTTTGGGTTATTTTATTCTTGGCTATATCCACTCTTCCTTTTCCCAGCAATTCAACTATGTTTTGAAATTTATTTCTGGTTTTCTTTTTTCGTGTTATATGCTACAGTTTATTATGGAATCTGTGTTTTCTGTCATGCTCATTCAGGTACTATTGCTAATGCTGGGAACCTGAATCCAGAAGGTTCATCTCTCTCTGGGGAATATTAAAATACGACGTGCCCTGGGTTGCCATATAGAAATTTTTGAAAAATGTTCCACGGTTTCTGTTCCTTCCATTCATGTAGAAATATGTCTGCTATTGAATTCACAGGAATTCTTCTCAAGAAAATGCGAGTCCTAAGCAGAATGTTCCTTCTGACTTCAGGAAGAATCATGAAGGTAAGGGATCAGAGTAAGGCCTTTTATATATGGTATGTTTTTCCTATTTATACTACTTCTGGTAATGTGTATGAGTTAGATCACATGGTTTTGCATTCCAGCTGGAAGGTCTTGGCTTACTACTTATAAAAGACCAATTTCTTCCTTACCTGCGTGAGTTGTTCTGCTGAGCCCACGAGCAGTGTTCATGAGTCTAAAGCAAAGATCTCACACTGAAAGGAATAAAGTATGCTGTATTTTTTATAATTAACACAATGGGAGTTTCTTCTCCTATAGGATTATGAATCAGACTTAGAGCGGAAAATTATTCAATGTTTCTGTTTATCTTTCAGCATTGCATTATTCCAGCAAGACTAAAGAAAGACAATGCAGTGATGGTAAGTCAAGGTCTTTCTAGACCACTAAGGGGGAAGAAGAGAGATTACTTGAACAGATTTGTTGGGTTTTTCTGCATAACCTTTCAGTGAATGGAGTGCCTGTGTGCTGTTATGTAAAAAAAAAAGGATTTTTGAGTAGCAAGAATGTTTATGAATCACTCAATAATTGGGCTATTATGTTAAATAGGTTTCAGGCACAAAGCTAAACATTGCTATGTGTGCATATTAATATGAGTATTCCAACACTCACTGATTCCTTGCCACAATTCAATAGACTTTTGCCCCTTATTTCCAAGAACTTTAGCATACATTTGTTCTTGTGGAATAACCTTTAAACTTGCATGGAGTTTAATCAGCCTTGTATAAGACCAGTCCAGCTCAATGGTGGAGTTTTAAAGAGCTGCTTAAGAGATGAAGAGTTTTTCTAAAATATCTGCTTGTAGGAATATTTAAAGTATATTTAAAGATATGTAAATATTTAAAGTATATTTGTCTTTGGTGAGAGCAATGCTTTCTGCTGCCTTCCTCATTGGCACATTATCTGAGGGGTCGCTTTATAAACTTGAAACAATTGCTCTGTGATGGAAAGGCTTTTCTACCCATTGAGCCTCATTTCCCCTCTGCTACTGATCTCTTGGTGCCTCCAGGAACTCTTCTGTGTCAGCCAGAGGCCAGAAATGCTCCTGGGCTGGCTGACTGGCATCACCATTCCAACTGCATGATATTTTATTTTGAAAATACCTCAATTCATTCTATTTCGAAAATTCCTCCTCATTTTTAAGCTAGTAATGAGATAACCTTTCTAGGTAAGGCATACAGGATCTGGAGGACTGTTATACTCATCTGTAGGATTTTTTAAAATACCTTCTGTGTGTCAACTTATAAGCCTCTATTCCCCTACAAATCTAGCCCAAATTCTGCTCTTCCGCTGCAATAACTTCTTTTACACTTTAGTCAATGCAAGAGAGTGCTGAAATTGCCCCGTTTTGTTTCTCAAGGCAGGTATTTTGAGATAGAAATGGCACACATAGAACTGCTTGTCTTCTTTATGACCCTTTTAAGCCATGTTTTAAGCCACAAGGTTTTTCAGATATTATAGTAAAAGAGTTTCCTGTCTGGAGTATTTTCTGAAGTACCCAGTTTTAAACACATGCTAAAGAATATATGTGGAAAGTAAGTTTTGAATGTGTAATTATACTGTAAATCTGAATCCAATAGGTTGGATTAAAATATTTGTCATAAATGCGTTGCCAGCGACTAATTATTCTCATGAGTCATTTGGCAAACACTACAAAATAAAGGAGACATCTGAGTAAATAGGATTTGATTGTGGAGAATTCGTACACAGGGAAGGAGCTGGAATTTGTTGATTTAGGAATTTTAATAAAACATTCTTCCAGCTGTACTGCAAATGACCCCATGGGTCTAGATATCTCCATGTGACTTGTTCTTATGAACAGTAAGAGTATGTCTAACTTATTTTGATTTTTACTGGCAATTACACATGTACATAAACCCTGTACACAGGCTGGTACCTAAGTAGGTTATGAATTTTGGCCTAACTCTTCTTTAAGTTTCATGTAACCAACTGGAGACAGGATCTCCCAGACCTAATCCTTGCATTTTCAAAGGCTTACTCAGACTTTGAGTTTTGTGACTCTGACTAGAGTCATTGGGCACTGAATGATTAAAATCCCTCCAGGGTCTAAAAATTTCTCTCAAGTGCCAATATAAACTCCATTAAGACCTTGCAGCAGGATTATCAGTCTCAGAGTGACCAGGCATTAAAAATCTTGCCACTGTACATGTTATCAATCTGCCAGAAGTTGCATGTTACTTAAAAATGTTCATACATTTCACAGTTTTTTCTTTGATGCCTTCTTGGAACAGATAAAGATACCCTATCTCATATCAGGCAGATCTTCACCAGCCCACAGCTGGACTTGAATCCTCAGTTTAACCCAAAGATCAAAGAATACTATGCAGAAGTCCCATTTGACATGGTGACAGTGAAGATAGGAGCAGAACCCTCTAACTGTCAGTGCCAAGTACACCTCGACGAGAAGAAAGGGCCAAGGTATGAGCGACAAAATATGAGTGTAAAAACTAAAAGTGTCCTTAACTTTGGAAATATGTCAGAATATTACAGAACTGTTTTGTGTTTCCAAAAGCACAGAATGCATACAGATTAGTCACAGGAAAGTCAGAGGGAATTCAACACTCAGAAACTTGTACTGATTTGTCAATGTCCTGAAGGCAATGGTAATATGTTCTCAAGCCATAATTAACCCTAGCTTTACAGAGTGCACAGCTGCTAGCATCTCCCCTAACTTCTCCAGTCACTGACAGCATCAAAACTGGGTGGGAACAGACCACCATTACACTGCACAAAATAGACAGCAAAGAATTTGAGCTTTCATATCCAGGCCCTGATTTTGCCCTGTGGCCTAAGCTACTGCCCCACTGGGCTTGGTCCCTCAGCCAGCAGTCTGCTTACGTGCGTCAGAGTAGGGCAGCTGGGACCAAAAGAAGAAACAAATTCAAGTTTACTCATTCAGAAAGATCCATTTTCATCAGAATTATAAGGGATTTTCATAGAATCATAAAATCATAGAATCATTTAGGTTGGAAAAGACCCTTAAGATCATTGAATCCAACCATAAAACTAACACTGCCAAGTGCACCACTAAAACCATGTCCCTAAGCACCACATCTACACGTGTTTTAAATACCTCCAGGGATGGTGACTCAACTGCTTCCCTGGGCAGCCTGTTCCAATGCTGGACAACCCATTCAGTGAAGAAATTTTTCCTAATATCCAATCTAAACCTCCCCTGGCGCAACTTGAGGCTATTTTCTCTTGTCTTATGGCTTGTTACTTGGGAAAAGAGACTGACACCCACCTCACTACAACCTTCCTTCAGGTAGTTTTAGAGACCAATAAGGTCTCCCCTCAGCCTCCTTTACTTCAGACTAAACAACTCCAGGTCCCTCAGCCGCTCCTCATAAGCAGCTCATAATTCTCCAGACCATTCACCAGCTTCGTTGCCCTTCTCTGAACACACTCCAGCACCTCAATGTCCTTCTTGTATTGAGGGCCCCAAAACTGGACACAGTATTCCAGGTGCAGCCTCACCAGCGCCGAGTACAGGGGCACAATCACCTCCCTGCTCCTGCTGGCCACACTATTCCTGATGCAAGCCAGGATGCTGTTGGCCTTCTTGGCCCCTGGGCACACTGCTGGCTCATGTTCAGCTGGCTGTCGACCAACACCCCCAGGTCCTTTTCGGCCAGGCAGCTTTCCAGCCACTCTTCCCCAAGCCTGTAGCGTTGCATGGGATTCTTGTGACCCAAGTGCAGGACCCAGCACTTGGCCTTGATAAACCTCATACAATTGGCCTTGGCCCATCAATCCAGCCTGTCCAGGTCCCTCTGTAGAGCCCTGCTACCTTCAAACAGATCGACACTCCCGTCCAACTTAGTGTCGTCTGCCAACTTACTGAGGGTGCACTCGATCTCCTCATCCAGATTGTTCATAAAGGTATTGAACAGAACTGGCCCCAGTACTGAGCCCTGGGGAACACCACTTGTGACCGGTCACCAACTGGATTTAACTCCATTCACCAGAACTTTTTGGGCCCGGCCATCTAGCCGTTTTTTTTACCCAGCGAACAGTACACCCACCCAAGCCACGAGCAGCCAGTTTCTCCAGGAGAATGCTGTGGGAAACAGTGTCAAAGACTTTACTGAAGTCCATGTAAACAACATCCATGGCCTTTCCCTCATCCACTAAGTGGGTCATCTTGTCATCAGCAAAAGTCCCAGCTTATCTGATTTTTTAGAGGAGTATAAAGCCGGAGGAAAGGGGAGAGGGCAAAGTCATCACTAAATAGCAGGTTTGAGCACTGACCCACAATCATCAATAATGTTTAATTGCTACTGTGATCCCTGGCACAGTTTTGGCTTTCCCAACCAGCTCTCTCACAGACAGCAGCATGTGCCAGGGACAATCCCAATAGGCATTTTTGGCATGACCTGTGTTTGAATGTTGGGAGGGACAAAAAGTGTGTATTTATCTGGGTCAGGTACCTCAGAACCAGAGAACTGGCCTATTTACATACTAGCCATTAGTGAATGGATAAAAGGGAGAGCAGGGATAATGATTCACTTGGGAGGAAGAATTCTTAACCATTACAGAGCTAGCTTTGCTTCATGGTATGAAGTGTCTATGCAACACACCATCTTTTGACTGACTGTGAAGCTGATGCTTTGACTTAGAATGTCTGCTAATAACCAGACAGTCTGTACAGTTGTTACTGATCTAATGCCCAATATGCTTCCTGTATTTTCAATAAGAAATTAGTCTTGATTTATCATTTCAAAAGAAGCTCCCATAAAATTCTTCCACACAACTTTTTAGCGTTTTAATGTTAACTGCCTTGGCAGTCAACCTGGACACATGCAAAAAACTTAAGAGATTTCTTCCTTGTAAAGGGCAAACAGAATAGCAATAAGTCCTTTACACTGAAAAGTAAAAGCCCTGGATGTGCAGGTTCTGTGTCTTTCAGCATTTCTCATTTCCCTGCCAAAGGAAGAAGAGCACAGTCCAGCTTTGCTCTTGTCTGTCACTCTGAGCAGTTTGTCTGGAACTCCATCACATTTGGCTGGTGGACAATTTCAATGGCTAGCTGACACCTCTGATCTTGTTTGTCTCCCTGATGACTTCACCATGAACTTGGACCTGCCAGGAATTATTGTCCCTAGTGGCTTCATTCACAGATTTCATGTCAGAATTGTTGCTACTGTCACTGAAGCTTTTTTTTCTTTAGTTTTCACTAAGTTTCACTGTCAGTATTTTGTCTTCCTGAAAGAGCTGTAAATTGTCATAAATCTTATTTTACACTGTTTTTTATTTAAAATCATATGTATTTTGTAAGAGAAAGAAGATGTTAGAAATAGAAGCCTCAAAGAGCAGGTAAAGTTTAGCTGTCACAGATAAAACAGTGTAAATCTTTGTTTCTTTAGTGCTTATTCCACTTCTTTCCTGTTTTGCCTTGCAGCATTGCTAACTACCCCCTTGGCCTTGGATTGAACAAAGTCATCATTCTCATAACAGATGATTCGCAGCCTAGTCCTCAGGTTGTGAGCAGCTACAAAATCACAATTTTTCGAGAAGACCGCCCTAGTCTGCCTTTGTTTGATGACTATATGATGTGTGGGTTTGTGCAGGTATTGTCTCTATATTCTTTTGCTATACAAATTAATAGTGAATTTAACTGGTTTCTGTTCATCCAGTGGTATAAATTAGGGTACGTGGGCCAAAGCTGGTGTAGAGTCAGTTTTGGTGAGATCAGAATCTGAGTTCTAAGTGCTGTAACTGTATGAAATACAGCATTTACACAACATTTTGGATATAAAAAGTAAGTCCAGCGTAAGTATCTGTTACAGTTACCATGTATTTGAGAGCTCCAGGTTAATTAATCCGTACTTTGGGCAGCCAAAACCTTACCCATCAGAGAGCTGTTTGCTCATCAAAAAACAGTCCCTCTGTACAGCAGTGGGCAGACTGCAGTTTTCATAACTATCTATCTTATGACATTGGAGCCATGGAAATCCTCTTACCAGGAAAGATATTTATGATGACAGTGTGTTTAACAGTGTTCAAGACAAATGCTGCTAGAAAATTTATGAATGAAAAGTGTTCATTCTAGAAGACCAACAAACACAATGGAAAAAACCCACTGATGATTCCAAAGGAAGGGATGATTGCCACTTACATCACATTTATCCGAATATAAGTTTGGGAATGCAAATAAATTACTTCATAACAAATAAAAATCCTTAGGAAGCAGTGGGTCTCTTAAATGAAAAAAAGGGTGAGAGTCTGTCTGATAGGGTTTAAAAGGGGCTGGGGAAGGAGAGCTTGGGCTGAATTAGACACGAAATTGGAAGAAAGATAATGAAAGAAAGGAAGAGTGAAGCTTGCGGTTAGTGAAACTATGGTGATTAAGATATTCTTTGTAAGATAGGAAACCTGGGACACAGGCTGGAGCAGAGCTGTTTGGATTCCAAAGTCTGAGGACTGAATGTTGGTACTTGATATGGTGGGCAAAGATAGGTGATTCAAAGAGGGAAGTGACATGGTAAATCATAATCAGGGGCAATGCTTTTGTCTGTGGGATTTTAGGCATTTTTAGGTTTGGTGGGTTCATTCTAAAATATTAGAGCCTCCAGGAGGAATATATTTCATCACAATTAATTCTGCCACCAGCAAGCAGGATTTTCAAAACCATAGTGTTGAAACTGTCATCAATGTTCATGTCAAATGTCTAATCCTATCTGTATTTATCTTCTTCATGAAGATCTTTATATATCAATATATCCTTTTTGTAAAACTTATTTCCCTTCTCCATTTTTTTCCATATCCTGCAAAAGAAGTTGGGAGAGCAGGGTGGGAGAAGGCAGAGCGGTTTATGTGATGGGACAGATCAAGAGGGATTTTTTTTTTTTTCTTTTGAAGAAATAAGCACTGGGGCTTAAAACAGGAGCCAAATAGATTATAAATGTTGATAGCAAATTGTATGTTGACAATAATTATCTCAATCTGCAAATCAGAACTGTCAGAGAAAATGTATGTAGTAGTCATAGCCTACTGACTGTTGATCTGAATACCTGATTATGGTGCTGTCTGGCCCTCTACCTATTCTTTGTCTCTTCTCTTACACTTATCTTACAAGCTCAAAAGGTCAAGAACCATCTTCTTGGTTTTTTTACTGGCTCAGCACTAGATCTAGTAGTTGCTACAGTAAAACAAATAGTAAAAACATATCATACCTAAGATTTCAGTTCAGCTGTACAGCAATTTGCTTGACACCTTAGGTATGAATTAGTATGAAAAGGAGAGCAGCAATATATTGAGCTGGAGTTATATTGCTAGGAGAACACACTGGCTGGAAAGATGTGAGGAAAGCTCCTCTTGTTGCCCAATTTGGGGCAAGTATCCGGGTGTAGGAACAGGAATTCAACTTCATACACATCCTCCTACACTAGAGTTTACACTGTTGTTAATGTTTTATGATAGCATTTATGAGACTGAGTATGAATCTTTGAAGCTCTGTGAAGGCAAAGAGATCTAGAACGATAAAAATGAAAAGTGTTTTAGAAGTTTCTTTTGATTGAGCTTGGGTTTCTGTTCATCTGTGAATAACTGCTCTCTAATTAGTATAATTGTTCAGAGCTAGGGAGGACTTCAGGAGTTTAGAGTAAAAGTGAGATGAAAAGCATTCTTGTGGTATCTAATGAGGGCTGTGTAGAAGTATGAGGTTCTAAAATGTTTTTTTTTAGATATGTTAAAGGCAAACTCACCTGAGAGTGTATTTAAAAAAACAAACAAAGGCTGGAGCTGGAGATAGAACTGGCATTCTAAAGCACTCAAAAGCCTGCATTTTTTTCCCTTTTTCCCTGTTTCCTAGAACAGAAATTATTGCCTTTTGCTTAGAGTGATGTTTTTTATCAATATAAAACTCAGGTCTTAAGTAGCACCATTACATTCTGCTTTTCCTATCAGAGAACATCATGCGCTCTTGCAGGGTGGGTTAATACACCCTGATCAATGGCATGAATGCTTGTTCTCTTAGTAACAAGACACCTGTTTTAGGAGCAAAAGGATAAATACAGCGTGAACTGACAGAGTCTCCTTTGGACACTTGACTAGGCACAACTGGGATCACACATGGGGAGAGAAAGGTCACTGACAATGGTGCGGTCTTTCTCACAGAAGGCTTCAGTTAAAATTCTAATCCAGTGACTTTTTTTCCTGACTTTCTTTTATGTTTAATCCCATTAGGATATTCAGGTTTCACTGCAAGATGATACTACAAGGAAGGTTGCAATAAAAAGACAGTGTGCGGGATGTTGTTTCCAGTCTTCTAACAATTCTCATGCAGCTGAATAATCCTGGATTAATTTCAAGGCTATTGAGTTAAGAAGTGTGTGGTTCCAAGCCTTGCAGCCCCTAAAAGGGGAAAAATATCATCTTCTCTACTTTTTGATAGCAACTATAATATCCTCATTAAAACCAATTTAGCAGGGGATAAACTGTGGCATCACCATAGCACCTTTGGCAGCTTTGATTGCCTCTCATTGTGTGCTCTGCATTCTGACACTATATTGCTTGGACTGCAAATGGAGAGGTTATCCATTTGTGCTTTAACTTCATTTTGTGCAATTGTTGACAATATTCAAATTAAGTGTCCTTGAGAGAAGTGGTGCCATTTCATTATCACCTGTGAAGCTGTGATACCAAGATAGGCAGAACACAAAGCAAGCAGCAAAAAACTGTGAGCTCTTAAGACAGTGGTATCAGCATTACCCTCAAGTGAAAGATCCCAGACTGCACACACACTGTCATACAGGACAAAATATTTTATTCATTCTTGCATTGCCCATTATCTTTAAAATGCAAACAGATTTATCTATGCCTCACTTGAAATGTGTGGATGCTACCTGTTTGATTGTTAATCTTTGCCAGTTGCAATCATGGAAAGTAACTACTGATGTGCTTAGGGAACCTTGTGTGACGCTGAACTTTTGTACCTATAAAGTCCTGCTGCCACATGTTTTGTTTTGTTTTGTTTTGTATTTTAGTAATACAGTTATTTATTTGGCTTTGCATTTGCATTGTGAGTAATGGATAGCTAATATTATATTTTATAGCCATAGTGTGTATCATTCTCTTTGCCTGTGCATTTGCACAAAATGTGAAAAAGTACTTTCCAGAATCAGTCCAGTGCAGTGGGCCGATGCTCTGGCTGTCCTACAGCTTTCTCAGGTCTGAGAACAGACTTACAGAACAGCTTTAAAAACTTCCCTGATTTTTATAAAACACTTTATTCTTAAGTACCATTATGTCTTATATTTTTATAAACCCTTTTATCATATCCATTTGCTAGAGTCCAGATAGCATAAGAAGTCCAACAGATCTGATAATGAGATACTGGTTATAGCATTCCTGACTATGTGACACCAAATGGCTGCAATGCAGCTGGCAACAAGATGCCAGCAACAAGATGCCAGCAACAAGATGTTGATTTCTCTTTCTGTGTACCAAACTTCCATTGATGAAAAAGCAATTAAGACCTAGGCCTAATATAATAACTATATTTAACTTTACTATAGTCTTTGAGGGGTAAAGATGAGAAAACCCTTTAGAAAGCAAGAAGCCTTTAAAAAAAGACCCCAAAGTAATTTCATTTTTTTATGTAAGATATGACAATGCTTATATTTTTTTCAGCTCAAGTTATAAATTTCCCAAGGAAAATAAAATGGTTTTACTTCTTTTTAAACTGCGTTCTATTAGTTACAATGCCTTTCATACCAGACAGTACAAGTAAAAACTGTCAATTATAGAAACATGAATTAACTCTTTGCCTAGTGCTTTCATGCAAAGATTTCAAAGAACCTTGCAAATATTAAATAATGTCCATAAAATAAAAATTAAAAAAAAAAGCTTAGGAGAGAAACAAAGAACTTGTCCTGTAGTAAGATAGGAGAAGCATGTTAGTCCCTTCTGTATTTCCCACTAGCTGCATTAGATTCCGCGTGACACCCGTTACAAACCACCCATCTCTTTTGTCATTAGGACAATGCAAATGCCATGTGCAGATTCAGGTTTTGCAGTGCTTGTTGTAGCAGCAGCAGCTAACCTTCTTGGCAGTTCTGGGTTTGAGTGTATTGCTTGAAAACACACAGAAAGTGCATCTCTGGAACTGAATATACAGCCTAATTATATCAGCAACCAGACTGTATCTTATTTGCAAAGTTAGCTTACTTCCCTTTCAGAGGATAAAAGAATATCCATGATAGGAGCAATCATGCATTGCATTCTTTAGTCTTCTTAGATATAGAGCTGGTGAGAATTTTTTTCAGTGGTTTTGAATTTTTCAGAAAACAACAAAAAATGCCCCAAACTTATAAAAAATAGTTTGAGTCCTTTTTTTTCTTCTGTTTGTTTTTTTTTTAAAAGCTTTCTTATTATGGGGAAAAAATATAAAGAAAAGCATATATTTTCTTCAAAAGAAGAGACTTTGATTCAAAGAGGGTTATTTGATTAAAAGAGATTAAAATTCAAAATTTAGAGTGGCATAACTCATAAGTTAGAGATTTTAGCTATTGTGCAGCCCAGAATGCTAACTCTGTTTTCAAGGAGGGAGTGGCTGGGACAAGCAAAA